ATGCACAGTGGCTGCTCCGCTGCTACTGACCATTCGCCAAAGTGGTAGGCCAGCTTGTTGGAGCCCTCAGGGTCCAGCCGATACGCCCAGGAGTCTGCCACATCATCAACTGGGTCTTGAACCGCTCGTCCTCGGGTGTCTGCCAGCGCCTGAAACCACTGCTCATCACTGGTTGCCTCTTTCTGCTTCGTGGCATACGTCGTCTCCAGGAGGTGCCCATACTCATCATGATGCAGGTCTCCTGGTGTCGCTGCATCCTCGTCGCACTCTGCTGCTGCTGCCACCGTCTTCTGATACTTCTCACGATCACGTTGGGCTCGCTTGAGTCCTTTCTCTTTGTGGACCGTGGTGGTGGCGATCTCGATCTTCACTGGCTGGATCGGCATCTGCACCTTGACCGAGGCAGGTCGCGAGTGCAGGCGCAGGTGGAGGCCCACGTGTGGGCTCCATGGAACTTCCCTCACAGGCTTGAATTCTTTCACAAAAGGGCGAAAGTCTCGCGAAAATATCCCATAATCAATGAGTCTGCCTTTGCCTGTGGAACAAGTGACGGTACAATCGCTTGGTATCAGCAACTCTCCCCTCAGCGCCTTCAACCATGGTGACTGCTGCATCTGCATCGGTGTGTTGTTCCAATCTCCGAGTGCTACCCATGGCACTCCTAGGGACTTCACCACTCGTGTCAGCTGTGCCATCTTGGCGACGTTCGCTGGTCCGTCTAGCCCCACACTGCAATCAAGATACACCGAGATCAAAGCCAGCGTCGCCCCTTTCAAACGCCAGAGGATGATCGAGATGTCGCGCAGTTCTTTGTGAAATACACTGTGCCCCGTGCCATCGGGCAGGTGTGCTGCCGTGACGTGGCCTGCTCTGGCAAGCCAACACGTCCCCCCTTGAGTACCAGACATACTCCGCATCGATGGTGTCGCAGGCGTCCACGAGAACTGTGTTTGCCACCCCTTGAATCTCAGTTTCTTGATCTCCTGCTTGGCGGCCTTTGGGAGCAGGTGATGCTCTGCTAAGCCGACCATGTCAAAACTGCAGTGCTCCACGTAGTGTCGCACCTTTTCCCCGTAGTGCGTGACATTGTCGAACAGCACGTCCACATAGCCACTCTTCATTCGTGTAGGTCGTTCTTCCTTTGTGTTGACGACGGCGCCGTCAGGAGCTCGACGGTGCAACGCTGGCTGCCCCCTTGGCCCTGGCACGGAGCGCCGCTGTCTTGGCAATGTACTGGTCGATCGCACTCGGGTCCGTGAAGTCAACCACCTCTGGAGTTGCCGCTGCAGCGCTCTCGTCTGGTTCCGCCGCTGCTGCATCTGCTCCTTGGGCTTCACCTCAAGCCCCTCTGCGCCTCTTGATGGAGTGGTGCAGCGTTCGCAGCCTCTCTGCAGCCTCTCGCGCCGCTTTGCCCGCGTCAGTGGCCGACTTGAGCAAGTTGCGAGCCTTCTTGTGAGCCGCTGCCGCTTCTTCGTACTGTTTCCGAGTGGGCTCATCGAGGGATGCCAATTTTTCGGTCTCCAACTCTGGGAACTCTTCTTCCTGTTCTTGAGACTGTTGTGCTTGCCGTGCATCCGTCTGCGGTCCTGCTGCCTTGGTCTTGCCAACCAATTCGTCGATCTCGGACTGCGCCGGCTGGCATTCATCAATGTTGGTCCTGAGCTTGGTCTGCATATCTTTGAGCGTCTGAGCCGCCTGCACCAGCTGGTTCTTGATCCGCCCCTGCTGCGCCTGGAGCTGGCGGAGCTGTTGCGCCTTCTGGGCCAGGCGCTCCACTGGTGAGGCCTCCGGAGGCGGCTTCCACGCAGCCTCCAAGTTTGGGCAGACGGCCAGGAGCTTGGTCTGGGCCTCCTGATCCCCGTCCTCCTTGGCCTTGTTGAACTTCGGGAGGAGTACTTGGAGGATCGGGTCCAGGCCCAATCCGCTTCCCTTGAGACATGATCGGAGGGGCAGGCTCGCGCCCCCCTCGGTCTCCTCCAAGTCGAACGTGACGATCGCCCTGGCTGGATCCTTCCACAATCTGCCACACTCTCGGCAACTCTCCCATCCCGTCTTCCCTGCCTTGTGCACAAACACCCAAGACCGAGGGCAAGTAGGACATACCAGATACTCATTCTTGCGGCTGCGGCTGGACGAACGCGGGCGGTCATGTTTGCCTCCCTTGGTCATCCGCAGCTGCAGCAGGTCCCTTCAAAACACGCGCAACTTCCGCCGCCCGTCTGGGCGCCCCTCAAGCCGCGGGTGTGCCTGGCCGCCCTGCGCTCGCAGAGCACCGACACACGGTACGCGTGCGCGCGTGCGGGCCGGGGCCTCCCCCCAAGAAGGCCTGACCCACAATGGCTTGAGGAGGAGGAGGAGGAGGAGGAGGAGGAGGAGGAGGAGGAGGAGGAGGAGGAGGAGGAGGAGGAGGAGGAGGAGGAGGAGGAGGAGGAGGAGGAGAGGAGGAGGAGGAGGAGGAGGAGGGTGCTAAGCGTGCTGTCTACACGGGGCAGGGTCCCCTCGCCACTGCGGGCGCGAACAGGAGGGGGGGCGACCAACCCCCACACCGGGCAAGAGAGCCCCCCCCCCCAAAAACGGAGCCACGAGGCCCCAGGCCGGGCCCTGGAGGGCCAGGCCGCCAAGACCCACCCAGCTCTCGCACGGGAGCAGGGCAGACCCTGCGCCGTGCGGGGGAAGGTCGCCCCCCTCTAGGCCACCCAGAACGGGCCGGAGTAGATGGGGCGGGACGATCGCGCTGCATCGCCGATGCATCGGCGATGCATCGGCGATGCGGCTCGATGTGGGGCCCAATCTTCTCCGCGCCGACGTGGCGGATGTATCGCCGACGTCGCCAGCACGTGGCCGATGCCTCGCCAAGGCATCGGCGATGCATCGCCGATGTGTCGGCGCTGCGGCGAGATCTCCCGACCCCACCTGCTCGGACCCCACCGAGGAGGCGACCCCCGCCCTGCCCAGCCCGCAGCTCCTCCACTCGTGAGGGCCTTCGGAGGAGGAGGAGGAGGAGGAGGAGGAGGAGAAGGAGGAGGGGGCGGAGGGGGAGGATCAGGAGGAGGAGGAGGAGGAGGAGGAGGAGGAGGAGGAGGAGGAGGGAGGGAGGAGGGGGAGGAGGGAGGATCAGGAGGAGGAGGAGGAGGAGGAGGAGGGGAGGAGGAGGAGGAGAAGGAGGAGGAGGAGGAGGAGGAGGAAGAGGAGGAGGAGGAGGCCGCCAGCCCCGTCCCGACCTCCTTCCCGGCGACGTGCGGCGGTCCCTGGCCGCCTTCTCGCGGCGACTGCGCCCCGCGCGTCCCCGGCCCCGCGCAGCCGTGCGTGAGCTCCTCCCAGCCGGACTTCGGGAACGCCGCGCTCCGACAGCACGCGCTCTCGAGCACGCCACCGCACGGCACGCATCGTACGCAAAGGATCACCTCCACAGGCATGAAGAGTGCTGCGAGCGGCGTGCGTCCCCGTGGAACGCACTTCGCAGGAGCCTCACCCGCGGGGAGCGCCGTGGCTCCGAGGCGCTGCGCCCTTTCGAGGTGCGCGCCCCGACCGATCGAGCGGACCTCAGCTCGACGCGGAAGGGCTCTGAGGATCAGGCGATGGCAAACATGGATTAAGGGGGCACCTTCGCCTCGATCCCCCTTTGTGGGGGTGCTCGTTGATCCCCTGTGTCGATCACCCTTGGGCACGGCTGTTGATCCCTCCCCTGTGTCCATTGAGCTCTGCTTTTCCATACGAGTGCTCCCCTGGGGGCTCGCACCCTGTTTTTTACAAGGGAAGCCACGAGCCTCAGATTGGGCCCACGGCGCCCGAACCGCCACAACAGCGGCTCCCGCCCGACACGTCCTCATCGCGCTCTCGCGCGGCAGGTCCTCGCAATGTATGCAGGAATCGCGCTCTCGCGCGGTACTTCCTCGCGGTGCTCTTTCTCGGGCGACAGGCTCACTCGGGGCCTCCGTCGGGCGTGCCCCTGTGAGCACGCGGCTGCGGGTCCGAGAGGGCAGCCAAGCCGAGGCAAAGGCCGTCGCCAGCCGTCGCATGAACGAGGTTGAAAGAACCTTCGCCTGGATCCCCCTTGTGGCGGTGCCCGAGGATGTGCGTGTGTCAGGCGATCGCAAGCATGGATCAAGGGGGCGTGAATTAGCGACGGGTCCCGTTTCCATGGGAAACCGTGGATTTCCGCCCCCGGACGAGGCGGAAGCGGCCGCATTTTGGGGAGGGCACCTCCCCCGATCCATGGATTTGGCGACCGCGCGCCACATCCATGGATCGCTAGTCCATGTTTGCGCGCCCACGAGTGTGCGACAGGCTTCCACTTTAAGACCCTCAGGGGCCCCCCCTCGCACGGCGGCTCAGGAAGCGGCGGCGGAGGGTGGAGCTGGGGTGCGGGGTGCGGGCTTTCTTGAAGGTTTGGGGTCCCAAGCCGCCATGCTAAGGGCGTCAGACGTTGCCTGCTTGGGTGCGAGCCTCCTCGAGCGTGTTGTGGAGGCCGAGGACTGTGAGGAGGCCTCTGCTTTGGGCGCCTCTCATTTGAGGCCTGACTCGGCCACCCTGAGCTGGCTTCCGGCCGCTGCCTCTTCTCACCTCTCTGCTGCTTGTTCCTCTCGTTTCCCCTCGTCGTTTATCGTCCTCTTCCCGCTTCTCCGTCCATCTGCGTTCCAGGCCAGCGGCTCGCTTGGTCTGGAGGTGAGCCTCCGGCGTGGGCGCCCTCACCCTGGGGGGGGCGGGTCAGCGGGGGATTCGGGTCTGCGCCCGAGAAGAGGCGGCGACAGTACGGCCACACTTCCAGTCTTGTTCGGAAGCAGGGCCCTTTGGTCGCATTTCCAGTTTTGCTCCTTCCTTCCTTCTCTATCCTCCTCATGCTCCTCCTCCTCATCCTCCTCCTCCCCCTCCTCTCCGCAGTCACCTCCCTCTTCTTGGTGCCCTCCCCTCCCTCCCCTTCTCGCTTCGTCCCCTTCCCTTCTTCCCCTTCTCTCCCTCCCTCCCCTCCTGCGTGTGAGAGCGCGCCCCGGGGGCTGCAGGCTCCTCCCTGGTGAACTTCAACCCGAACGAGTCGCAGTCGGTGGTGATCCCGACGCTGCCGCGGGGCAGGACGCTGGTGCTCAACTGCGTCTCCACCTGGGGGGACACCAACTTCGTAGGCTGCCGGCCCGAGGGCGCCTCTCTCTGCGCGCGGCCGCCGCTCTCGGGACGACCGACAGGGGTGCGGAAAGAGTGGGCACAAAGACCGACAGCAGTTCCTGCTCATTTCGAACACGGTTCGCTGTCGGCGCCGCCGCGGATCGTGCCCCTTTGAGACAGAAGGCCGCCTGCCAGACAGCGGCTGCTGGAGATTCGGGACAAGACTTGCCTGTCGGGCGTTGTGCCCATTCTTTCCCGGGCGTGCAGACGCTCGCTGCCGCCCGCGCCGGGGCCACCGCGGGAGCGGTGGGCCGCCGGCCGCGCGGGTCTGCACGCGCACCTCGCCCTTCCCCTCCTCCATGTTCCTTCGCCTCGCCTCGCGTCCTCCTGCACTGTCCTTTCCTCCCTCCCTCCTTTCCTCCCTCCCCTCTCCCCCCCCTCTCTCCCTGCCTCCCTCCCTCCCTCCACAATTACTCAATATGAATACTACTCTCCCTCTTCCCCCGACGGCGGCCTGAAAGTAGCCGACCCCCCCCGCGTCCTGCTTTTTTACACAGGATTCCCGTGAGTTGGTTTTCGCCTGCATTTTTTTTCAAAATGCTGCTCTCGCCGAGGCGCCGGCCTCATTTTCGGGCCGAATCGTGCTCCCGCTGCAGCGCTGGCCTCATTTCCGTGCTTCCGCTCGTTCCGAATCGTGCTCCCGCTGCAGCGCTGGCCTCATTTCCGCGCTTCCGCCCGTTTCGACTCGTGCTCCCGCTGCAGCGCTGGCGTCATTTCCCGTGCCATGCCACAGCACACGCGCACACACGCACACACGCACACACACACACACACCACCACGCGACTAAAGTTCGACTCAGGTTCGACTCAGGTTCGACTCAGATTCGACTCAGGTTCGACTCAGGTTCGACGCAGCTTCGACGCACGAGTGGAGCGAGTGGCTCCAGGAAGGTCCCCAGAATGAGCATCTAAATCATTCGGGCCGTTCTGGTCCTGCGACGTCTCGCTACGTGTGCCGCAGCACGCGGGGATGCAACGGTTGGGTGTGGACCAATCGAGCAGGTTGGTGCAATTAGTGTGGCACGACGCTCCAGAAGCGTCATTACCAGCGAGACAAGCCCCAGCATGAGGAGAGGGAGTGAAGCAGGCCCGACAGCTTCAAACCTGGAAGATGGAGGCGCGTCCGCTTCCGTCAGCCTTCAGCCCTAAAGCAGAGGATCATGATCAGCGCCAGCCAGACTCAGCGGTTGAAGGCTTTTCCGATCAAGTGTCTTTGGCCCAGGTTCAGGCCTCCTTCTGGAAAAAATGGGCGGGGGCCCAAGGCACGGATAACATCGACGCTTCTGAATAGCTCAAGCGGGCCAAGCATGCAGCCTTATGCGGCAAGAGTCTCGACCCGCAGACCCAGGCTCGCAACGGCCCAGTGCAGACTGTGAAAGCCAACGTCGCGACGAATGAGACGGCCATCCAGGACTACGGGGACCAGATTGCCAATCTGGCCGACCAGTACGTAGATAAACACAATGAGTTGCAAGATATCGAATGGAACTCCATCAGCTGGAAGCTCAGTTGACCATGACAGCTACAGTGGCAGCCCAAGAAGTAACGGAGTTTACAGACGTCATCCAGATCTTCTACCCGGCCCTGCAAGGTAATGTTCCTTACGGTGGAATTATATCAGAGATTTTATCGTAGTGCAGGATATGGGCCAGCTTTTCCACCAGCTACAGAAACAACGCGGCGCCACCGCCCCAGTCCAGGTCGCACCAGCACCGACCCCAGGACCTCCAGGACCAGAAGCAGCAGCTCCGGCGGGTGCTGCCATCGGCTCAGGAGCTGAGGACAAGCCTGTACCATCCAAGAAATGAGGACACGCCCCGCGCACTCAGCGGCTACAGTCGCACGGCGGAGGATCTCGACAAGGTGTCCAACCTCGTGGAGAGCAGGAGTGCCGACGGCGCCAAGAAGCTCAAGGAGGCGACGGCAGCAGAGACCTCGGCAGCAGAGGCAATCCGGTCACCGTCGATTCTATAGCCAGCAAGTCGTCGTGATTTACTTCAACGGCAGCTTCTGGGGTGTCTTCGAGAAATGCATTATTTCCAAGATCGCGCGCAACATAATGTTCGCCTGTGTTCAAGAACATAGGCTTCGTGATGATGATGTGGTCGCACATCAAGTGCTGTGGTGCCAGCGCGATTGATGTTTTGCCCACGTTGCCCCAGCTGACGTCAACGATGACGGTGAGCTGATCAGCGGGGTAGCCATCCTTGTCAGAAAGAGCATACACTTTGGCCAACTTGTCGGTCACGAGCTTGACCGCAGCAGGCTCACATGCGTTTTGCCCGAAGTGTCCAGCATGCCCAAGACAGGACTACTGTGCGCATATTTCAAGGCCCCAGCTGGGCTGGGGGAAGTCAGTGTGCGCCTGTTGGCAGGCGCTGCGCTCCAGCGGGATGCTGAAAGAGGTTTGGTTCTTTCAGCTTGTGATTTAAATCGAGACTCGAGGGTTTGGATTTCTTTCGCAGGGTCTCCGCGAGGCTCGTGGCGCCGCGGGTCCCGACCCGAACCGAGAGAATTTCATCGGTTTTTGAGTTTCCCTTGCACGGAGTCTTTCGGGGAGCGTATTCAGGGCGTCAGATGCTGGGATCATTGCCCGCTGCTTCCTCGCAGGCCAGCAGGCCTGCGCATGTCAGAAGTGGATTATTTGCTTGGTGCCAGATTTGTCAAGCCACAGAGGATACTGGCGCAGGCGCCCATAGGGCCCCAGACTGAGGACACACCTTGGGTTCAGAGTGAACGAGCAGTCCGCTGCGCCGAAGACCTGCTCGCCGATGCCACCCAGCCTCTCAGCGAACGGCAGCGTTGGCGCTCTTGGACTCCACCGACGTCTACGTTATCAAGGACCTCGAAAGGAGGAGCCTCGGCCTCATTGCGGATGCCCCTACCAGGCATATCAGCGCCCCAAGAGCCATCCTTCCCGCCGCCACACGGGGCAGAGCCAAACATCGAGATAAGAGACCCAGAGCCAGTTGATAATGCATACCTCCCCCCTCCAGTGGCGTAGGAATCGGCCGGTGGACATGCGCGGAGTTCGTTTTAAGCTGGAGCGCGACCGGCTAGTCTACGTCGCGGCCAGCCTTCAGACGCCCGGGCGAGTTTAGCAGCGTACCTACAGCGCCGCGGGCGTGTCATCGGGGGGCACGGCCGACAATGTCATGAACCAAACTTTTGTCGACGTCGAGAAGTCGATCACGTACGAGCAGCAGAAATTACGACTCGAAGCTTCGGAAGCCAGGTCATTTCGGGTCCAGGGATCTTCGAGGCGGGGTCGGCTGGGCCACCAAGTGGGCGAGAAACTTGGAGTCTTGGAAGCTCGCCTCCACGCATCCAGGGCAGATGGTCTGGGCGACCATCAAGAGTATGAGACGCTGAAGCCGATGGACTTGACGAGATCTGGGCGGTCGCCAGTGGGCCCAGGAGAACCCCCGTCCCCAGGGCATCGATGATGGGATCGCCTTGGGCATTTTGATCGGCGAGACGCTCCGGGAGGCCACCGGAAGTTTCCCAGCTCAGGCCGCGTCTACGCGGGGCAGAGTGCCCCGCGGAAGTTTCGCGCTCATCACGCATGGACACTGCTAATCATGGAGGCCATGGGCACAGTGTCATCTCGCATCCAGAGCAGCATCCCCGTCCTTATCTTCAAGCGTAAGCAGCAGGACAAAGCATCATCGAAACCAGCCGCGCGATCAATAGGAATGATGTCAGGACTTCAACGTGCGTGGGCACGACTCCGCCAGGCAGCCGCACGAGAATGGGGGCGTCTTTGTCGCCGACCTTTCCTTGTCTCCAGGGCGGTCACTCCATCGCGCAGATATTTTTCAATGGAGCCTGGATCACGTTACGTACACACACATATATATATATATATATATATTTATATTTATATATATATATATGTATACAAGATTGCAGTGGCGCTTCGCGCCATGCACCTTGGTCCTTGAAGTTTGGTATGCGGGCGGAACTGCAGCAAGGTCAAGCCAACAATTTAGCAATAATTCCTGATTGCCTTTTCTGGCATTGCCGCTATAATGATGTCATTCGTTATCCTTCCTCCATGCTTATTGTTCCTTAGTTTCGCCATACCCTGCGCATTCTCCCCATCATCCTCAGCTCTTTTTTGCGGAGGCTCCTCCTTGGAGAGCCTCTAGGGGCCTCACAAAAGTTGTTTCAGGCTTTCTTAACGCCTTCTGGAGGCCTCCTGGGCGTATTCTGGGGGCCTCTGGGGGCTTCCTCGGGCCACCCTGCCTCCAACCGCCGTCTCCCTGAACGACCGAAACACGATTTGGAATTCTTAGGAGGATGTCTTTGGGCCATCTTGGGCCGCCATGGGGCTCTCTGAGGGCCATCTTGGACCCGTATATATATATATATATATAGATATGCATGCATGCATGCATGTGTATAGACATAAGAACAGTAGCCCACATCATTCAGATATCGTACTATACGGCCTGTTCAGTTGTTACGAGCTGGCTAGATGGGCTCGCAAATGCGGCTTCCAGCTACTGTATCCCGCATCATCTGCAGCATCTACGCCAGCCCTGGATATGTAGCTTTCCAGGATCTGGATACATCTGGTTATGGAACCTATCCCATCCATATGTACACCCGACTATACATATGGACAGGATTGCCGCAACCAGGGTTGGCCGGAGGGGGTTGGCTGGGAGGGTTGGCCGGGTTATCGGGGGTTGACGGGGGGGCTTGTTAGGCTTACCGTTGCTAGGGATTCTGGAGCCGTCGCGACGTGTATGCGAATTGTTTCCATTGGAACCGACAGTGCCGAATCTTCGCCCTGATTCTCCTCGAAGTCTTAGGTGCTGTCATCATCATCGTCCTCTTCGTCCGTTTCTGGCAGCTTCTATTTTGTCGTCGCCCTCCTGTTGATGCTCCTCATCGCCCTCGGATTTCTACTTCCTCATCGTCTTTCCCGTCTTCTTTCCTCCCTCACTCTCTGTGCGTCTGTCGAGCTGTGGCGTGGCAGCTTCGGGCTCTCGCGGTGCTCTGTTCGAGCGACGGCGCCCCTGTTGCTGGGTCAGACCGTGGTGCGCAGGTGTCGCGCCAGTTCGTTGCACAATCAAACCGGCAGGGGTCAATTTTTTGTGCATCATGTCTTAATGGAGCCACGCTGGCGTGAAGCTGGCCAGCCCCCAGCAACAGTGGCCCGAGCCTCCACGGAGAGGCTGATAGTGTGCCCCCCGCCTGCGTCACCTTCGAGAGGCGGTTTGGGCGCCAGACCTGGGCAATCCGTGGGGTCTGGCTGAGGGGCTGGTTGGGGGGCTGGTTAGCAACAGTGGCCCGAGCCTCCACGGAGAGGCTGGTAATGTGCCCCCCGCCTTCGGCACCTTCGAAGGGCGGTTCGGGCGCCGAGCCTGGGAAATCCATGGGGTTTGGCTGGGGGGCTGGTTGGGGGGCTGGTCAGGAGTTCGCTCGAGGCCGGCCGGTCTCAGCTTCCACCGCTGCCCCGTTCGCTTTAAGGTCCCCTTCCCTTTGCGTTTTTCCTCCGCCCTTTTTCGCTTTATCTTCCTCTTCTTCTCCCCCCGCCCCTGCCCGCTCCCGCGGAGGCAAACGGTTGCGACGAGGGATGATGAGGAAGAGAAGGACGGATAGAGAACGGAGAGAGGGGGAGGGGAGGAAAAGAACGGGTCAAGCGGAAACCCAAAACGCACCAACGATATGGAATGCCCCGTTGGTGAGCAAACGTTGTAATCTCATGAAGCGTGCCATGGCCATTGACGGAACTTTCACGCCACGAAGCAATTTGATTGTTGCGTGTTGACGATCCCGACTCGCACCAGAACGCCATTCCTTCGACATCACAGCGAATCTGTCTAATTACTGCGCCGTAGCGGTGCTGAATCGTGGGGAATTTGCAAATGTTCAAGACGAGTGTGCGCGGAGCTGAAGCGAGAACCGCATTTTGGAAAGGAACCGCCCCAAGCCCGTAAAACTCTTGCAAGTGTTTTGAACAACGCCCGCCCTCCATCAGTGAAACTCTTTGCGCATGTGCTATAAGGAGCCACGTTTTGAAAACCATCCGCCTTCCATCCGTGAAGCCGGTTGCAATGTGTTAGGACGAATGTGCGCGGCGCTAAGGAGACACCCACATTTTGAAAACGACCCGCCCCAAATCTGTGAAACTCCTTGCAAATGTGCAATACGAGTCTTCGCGGCGCCAAGGCGAGAGCCACTTTTTGAGAACTACTTGCCCTCAATTCGTGACGCTCGTGGGGCGGCAGGCACATATTGAGAACCCTCCGTCCTCCATCTGTGGAACTGCTGCCAACCTTTAAGCTTCAGGAGCATTGGTGGAAGTCCAGGCGGAACGCCCGGCCCGCCCTTTCGACCAGCCTTTGGGCGCGACATGGGCGAGATATTCACAAGAAAGAGAAATGGAGGAGGAGGAGGAGGAGGAGGAGGAGGAGGAGGAGGAGGAATACGAGGAGAAGGAGGAGGAATACGAGGAGAAGGAGGAGGAATACGAGGATGAGGAGGAGGAGGAGGAGGAGGAGGAGGAGGAGGAGGAGGAGGATAAACGAAACGAATGGTAGGATGAGGTGGAAGGAGGCACACGACGGAGTTTATATGGAGGGAGGATGGCAGCATGTTCCAGCATATTTCAGGAGCTTTCGAGCACCTCGCTGCCCTTGCGGTCTTCTCCCTCTGCTATCAAGTTGCACACCCAGACCGGTTTCCCAAGGAGGAATGTGATGTCGGGGCTTACAGTTTTAGCCAGCGCTAACCTCCGCCTCCCGGATCTGTCTTGGTCAAAGTCAAGGCCCACCACGACGACCTCCAAGGGGAATTCGAGAGTCCCCAGCATCGGGAGCTTGCGGTAGGTAACGACGAGGCCGACAAGGCCGCCAAGCAGGCTCCGATTTTTTGTCAGCTGGCCCGGTGAACCAGAGCTGGAGTTTCACACATACGACACCAAGCTTCTGCGCAGACTCTTGAAATGCCCTCAAAGAAAGCCAGGACGGGCACGGGTAAGCCTGGCAGTGCCAACCCTCCCATCGGTGCCGCTTCCGCTCCTCATGTGTGGATCCCCGACCTCCGTCCTCCCGACCCCCCACCTTCTCCTCCGCCCTCGGTCGACGCCCCGGGGACCGCGGGGGAGAGCCGGGGAGCGGTCCCCGCAAGTGCCAGAGCGTCGGAGGCTGCTGGCGGTGCACTCACCGTCTGCCGAGCCCGAGCCAAGGCGGCCAGCCATCGGGCAGCTAGAGCCGAGGAAGCATGCCCTGGGTGCTGTAAAGCCATGGCCGCGCTAGCCGAGAACCCCATAGGCCACCATCTTCTTCGCTTCGAATACAGTCGGCCCGGATTAGTAGGTCGACCCTGCCAGCTCAAGGGTACCCTTGTGTCCTGTGCCTCGCGACACGTGCCTTCTTGCACTCCAATGGTTATGTGGGGTCTTGTGTCCTCTCGCGTGTCCTGTCCAATCAAGGCCGACTGTATCTCAACAACCCGAGCACCCTCATCCTCTGCCAGAGATGTGGAGCCTACACCGAGCGCGTCCCAGGTCTGTCAGGAGAGTGCTAGCTGAGGCCCCCCGAACAATGGTGCAGCTTCGCGACTCGGCAGAGCTCTTTGCCTTCAGCACCCCAAGAGCGGGAAGCACTCTCCAGTAATCTTGGGCCCCCACCCTGGCACAAGTCTACAGGCAGGCAACTCGAGCTGACCAGCTGGCACAGTCGGCGCGGTCGGTTAGTCGCGGTGGATACGCCGTAGGCGCGGACCCTGAAGGTTTGGGTTAGGGTCGGGTCGGCCAGTCCTTCGCCTTCCTCATTAGGCAAGTGATGGTCCCCCGCCTTGGATCCTCGTTGTCTCTCACACCCTCCTACCTCTGGCCTCTTGCTCCCTCTCTCCCCCGCGTCGCCCATCACCCCGCCCTGTTTTCCCTCCTCCCTCCTCTCTGCTTTCCCCCCCGTGCGGCGCCCTCCCTTCTCCCTGCTGCTCGCCGACGCCCCGACGCGTGGCTCTGCCCCGCTCCCCCCGCCAGACGGCCCGCCTCTCGGGGGCACCTCTCGCCACCCTCCTCCGCTTCCTGCCGCCCCCCCCCCTCCCCTCGCCCCCCCCCTTCCTCTCCCTCCTCTCCCCTCTCCCTCCTCTCCCCTCTCCCTCCTCCCTCGCCCCCCCCCTTTCTCCCTCCTCCCCCCCCCCCCCCCCCCCCCCCCTGGCGGCGAGGCGAGGGGGGGGGCGAGGCTCCGGGGGCCGGCCCTCTCTCAGGAGGCGGGCGGCCCCGCCGGAAGGGCCTCGGGCCCGCGCCCCGGCACCGCTCGGCGCCTCGCCCCGCCTCCCCCCCCTCTCGACAAGCGCGCTCCGCCGCTCGCGGAGTGTCGCCGAGCGCGCTCCGCTGCTCGCACAGGGCCTGCTCGCAGACGTCCGACGAAGCACCTCTCTGCTCGGCCATAGTGCATCCTACCTCCCCCGCGGGGGCTCCAGGCCCCTCCTGCGAGGAGCTGCTCTGCGAGTCGCGGCGCGCGCCCGTCGAGAGCAGCTGCCCGCAGGTGGCCCGACGCCCCCCCGCGGCGGGGCTGGGCGCGCCACGGCGCGGCGAGGACGGCGCGTGCTTCTGGGCGCGTGCGCAGGCGGGCGCTCCGCGAGCCGCGGCGCGCGCCCGGCGGCCCCCGCCAGGCCTCGCCGGCATCGAGCTCTTCGACGCCCGCGGCCTCCCGGTGGTGCCGAAGGACCCGCGGCGCCAGGCGGCGCGCTCGGCCACCGCGCCCTCTGCCGTTCGGGGAACGCAGAGTGACATGAGCATGGACACAGGCCGCGGCGGCGCGGACAGCGAGTCCTGTTCAAATGATCAGGAACTGCTGTTGGGCCTTGTACCCATTCTTTCTGTACCCATTTCTTTCGTGCAGAGTAGTGGACCGCGCTCGGCGATGAGAGGACGCGGCTCCCGAGGGCGCCCACCACAGGGGAACAAAAGGTGACATAAACATAAAAACTCGGAGGTCCGCGCGGATTTCTCGGATCGGCGCTGGACCCCCCTCCCTGGCGCGCGGCGCGCGCCAGGGGCGGCGCCGGAGGCGCCGCCGGGGGGCCCCAGCGCCGATCGGAGAAATCCGCGCGGACCTCCGAGTTTTTATGCTCATGCCCCTTTTTGTTCCCCTAGCCGTGCCGCCCGCGCGTGCAGGCCGCCCGCGCCTGCAAGCCGTAAGTCGGGCCTGTCCCCCTACAGGGGGATTTTCGGCGAAAAATAAACAAATACCCCAAGCATACCCCGAAAAGGCCAAACAAATATTCAAAGAATAGTCCCCAGCCTGCTTTCGGATTATTTTTTGATTATTTTTGGGGTATCTTTTCGTTTGCGTCGAAAATCCCCCCTGTAGGGGGACACGCCCGACTTCATGCAAGCCGCTCGCCGTGCCGCTCCGGCCCCCCCGCGTCGTGCAGCATCCCGGGCCCGGTGCTCGATCCTCGAGGCTTCTCGGCGCCTCGGGAGGCTCTCAGGCGTCGTGTGGGACGCTGTCGCACGTTTCTCAGAGCGTGAATTACCTACCCCGCTTTCGCTTCCAGGCAAAACCAAGTCATACCACGCGCCTCCTCGTCAAGCGGCCTGACCAGTACAGGCCGTAGTTTGGCATCGCTTGGTATCTTTTGGAAGCGAGGGTGGTCAAAAGCGAGGTAGGTTTGTTTTCCCCGTAGTTTCTGGAGCCTCGGGCTGCCGTGGCTGGGCGCGGCTGGGCATCTGCGGCCAGGGCGGGCCCGCAACCGGTCCCGACATGGAGCAGGCGTTGCAAGATGACGAAGGGTCCGGGGTCGATGAGCGAGGTTTTGGACGTGGTTCAATTTTCGTTGGGCTCGTGGAGGCCTCCAGGGACCTCCAGGGGCCTCCAGGGGCCTCCAGGGACTTCGGGCACCTCCGAGGACTCCCAGGGACAGGGAGGGGAGGAGGTCTTCGAACGTGAAAGTGGGTACGTCGTGCCAAAGTACTCTGGGCGTTCGTGCTCGTTATGGGAGACGGAGGGGAGCTGGAGGAGGCTGCGAAGGGAAGGAGGGGGAGGAGGATGGTTTGAAGGGACGGGAGAAGGGATGGGAGAGGAGGAGGAGGAGGAGGAGGAGGAGGAGGAGGAGGAGGAGGAGGAGGAGGAGGAGGAGGAGGAGGAGGAGGAGGGAGGAGGAGGAGGAGGAGGAGGAGGAGGAGGAGGAGGAGGAGGAGGAGGAGGAGGAGGAGGAGGAGGAGGAGGAGGAGGAGGAGGAGGAGGAGGAGGAGGAGGAGGAGGAGAGGAGGAGAGGAGGAGGAGGGGAGGAGGAGGAGGAGGAGGAGGAGGAGGAGGAGGAGGAGGAGGAGGAGGAGGAGGAGGAGGAGGAGGAGGAGGAGGAGGAGGAGGAGGAGGAGGAGGAGGAGGAGGAGGAGGAAAAGAGCAAGGAAACAGCGGGGTGGAGGTGCGCAGGGGATGGGAGCATGCGTGGCAGGCTCGGACATCGGTGCTTGAAAGTACGTGAAACGCTGTGAAGAATCAAATGAGACTCCGTGAGATACAGACGTGCTCTTTTTCGTATCATATCGTGAGGCCCCCGGACCTGAAATTGGGCAAGCACGCTCGCTGTTGTTTGTCACGACGTTCAGGTATGAGTGGCGATGACGGGGAGGAGAGGGGGTGGGGAGAGTCCCCTTTGCGGCCATGGCAGCTCTGGCTCCCTCACGCCCCCTTCCCCCCTCCTCCTTCATGTCTTCTCCGTTCTTCTCCCTCCTTTTCTTCCCCATCTCCTGCAGCAATTGTGGCTGTTACCCACTTGGTGAACGTTCACGAGGATCGCATGCCCCACGGATGGTCTGAAGGATGCTGGAGGTTACGCGCACGCGTTGTATGGGCTTCGTCTTCGTGACCTGCCCAGTTCTCTGCCTGGCGGCGCGTCCAAATATTCTGTTCGTGGTATTTGACGATTTAAGGCCGAACTTACGGGCCTACGGACATGACTTTATGCACACTCCTCATTTGGACGCGCTAGCCAACGAGTCTCTCGTTTTCAGACGAGCTTATACAAACTATCCTTATTGCTCTCCTTCGCGCAACAGCTTCATGTCTGGCCGCTTGCCCGACAGGACAAAGACGTGGAACTTTATAAACTCTTTCAGAGATCGAGGAGTAGGAGATCATTGGACATCCTTGCCAGAGTTCTTCAAACACCACGGGTACTGGACTGTTGGCACTGGTAAGCTGTACCACCCTGGGCTGCCACCACTTGAAGACAATCCAAGATCCTGGACCGTCAACCTGACAGATTTAGGTGCTGCGACAAATGGTTGTGGATGTCCAGCTGCACCTTCCCGTGCAGCGCCCCGCGCACCCATGTACTGTGGCCTGGCGGAATCCACTCGGTGTCCTGATGTGCTCGCCACCGAGTACATCCAAAGTGCCCTGGCCACGTGGAACCGGAGCGTCGGGTCAAGGATGCCGTTCTTCCTCGCCCTCGGCATCCACAAGCCCCACCTCCCGTGGGGCGCCCCGCAGTCGTTCTTCGACCTCTACGGCGCCGCCGAGGGCGTGCCCCTGGCGGCGGAGGGCAGGTTTCCGAGAGAGGCCCCGCCCCTGGCGTACCACGCGTGCCACTGGCAGCCCTTCTGGGGCCAGGCCCCCGGGGAGCGGTGCGGCGACGCGCCCGGCTGGTGTGCGCTGCAGGAGGCACACGGTTGTGGAGGGCGATCAATGGAGAGGAAGCATGTTGCCAAATAGTTTCCAGAGGTCTAACACATGTGTTAAACACGTTTAGAACATTGTTTCCTACATTTTAAACGCATTTAAAATTCGATGGTAGGACTGTTAGGATGTCCATTGCCGTGGCATCCGCAGGCCTACGGCCCGGCCAACTGCACGCCGGGCGGCCGGGCCGTGGCTGGGCGGTGGGCCCGCCACGCGCGGTACGGCTACTACGCCGCCGTGTCCTTCGCAGACGACCTGCTGGCCGGGGGCGGCCTCGCCGACCCCTGGAGCAGCCCCGCCCCCTCTTCGCGGCGCCCCCCTCGCCTCGCCTTAAGTCGGGCGTGTCCCCCTACAGGGGGATTTTCGACGAAAAATAAAGCATACTTCAAAAATACTCCAAAATGGCAAACCAATATTAAAAAGAAGAATCCCCAGACTATTTTTGGACTATTTTTAGATCATTTTTGGGTTGTTTTTTATTTTTCGTTGAAAATCCCCCTGTAGGGGGACAGGCCCGACTTAAGCCTCGCCCCAGGGCGTTCTCGTGTGCGGCGGGGAGCAGGGGAGGAAGAAGCGGCTGGACCCGATGAGTTTGGCGTGTGCAGCACGGCTCTGGGCGTTTTTACGATACGGCCTTGCCCTGTTCGATTCCTCCTCTGGATGCGTTTGCTAAACGGCCTCGCTTGTCTGTGTGGTTCTTCTGGGGGTGGATTTTTGCCCCCTGCGGAAGGGAGCCTGAGAGGCGAGGGTGGCGTCACTGAAGGGGATGGTCTGCCAGGGGCCGGTCAGGCCGCGCCCGAGCTGGGCCGCGTGTTGCGGGTGCTGCGTCCGATGGCAGCCTGGAGCAATACCGTCTCGGCGGCGAGCGAGAGGGGCAAGCGAGAAGGATGATCAGAGGAGGACAACGTACCCATATCCGAAGCCCGAAAACCATCACGTCACTAATTTGGGGCCCCAGGGCCCACTGAGGCCCCAGGGGCCCCGGATTAGTGAAGTGATGTTGTTTCCCACGTAAGGACCCCGAAATTCATCGCTTCACTAAACCGAGCCCAGGACGAAAGTCAGAGGCCGAATTGCTGCTGTGATGCAACATCGGTCTCGTACCATACCTCTACCCTTCCCTGGTTTTCCTCTTTTTGGGCCTCCTGGGCGGCCCTCGTCGCCACCGCTGCATTCGCCTCGAAATCCTGGTCAGAACGCACCGCGGGAGAGGTCTGGGGAGTAGCGGTATCGGTACCTTTTGATATCCCCAGAGGAGGGATTCTCAGAAGGCGGCGGGGTTCTCAGAAGCCGTGCGGCCTTCTGAGAGGTTTCCGACGTCCTCGGATGAGGCTTAGGCACGAAGGCCGGAGGACTTCCGAGCCTTCTGAGGAGGCCCGCCCCATCTCGCTTCCCCCCCCGGCTCGCCGCCGACCGTTGTCCTCGTTACCTCGGACCACGGCTGGCACCTGGGCGAGCAGAACGAGTGGTGCAAGACCACCTTGTTCGAGCTGGCCCTGCGCATCCCGCTCATGATCCGCGACCCTCGCCCCTGGGCTGCCGCCTCTCGGGGTGCCTGGACGGGCGCGTTCGCCGAGAACGTGGACATCTACCGCACGCTCGCCGAGCTGGCCGGGCTGGAGGCCCGCGTGGAGGGCTCGGTGCAGGGGACGTCCCTGGCCCCGTTGCTCGGGGACCCGGGGGCTCACGGGCCGGGCACCGCGGCGAAGGACGCCGCCTTCTCGCAGATGGCGCGGTGCCTGCGGGACCCGCACACCGGCCGGGCCATCGACGTGTGGACCGTGGCAGACTCCTGCTGGGGGGCCACATGCACGGTGACCCCGCGGGATCGGCTTGACTTCATGGGTTACAGCATCCGGGTCTCGGAGTGGCGCTTCACGGCGTGGCTCCCGTGGGATGGGCCGCGCCTCCGCGCCGACTGGAGCAGCGTCAACTCCACCGAGCTGTACTCGCACGCTGGCGACTCCGGGGTCGGCCCCGAGAGCCTGGACAGCTTTGAGCACGAGAACGTTGCGGCCAAATTCCCCGAGGTAGCGGCGGGCCTTTTCCAGAGGCTCCGGGGCCATTTCGATGACGATGCCAGAGATTCTTACTGGGTTTAGGACGCGAACGGGAAAGCTTGCGACCGAGGTCACCGAGGTTGCGGGTCCCTTCCATTGGCTGCGAGTAGTTCGAGCGCGCAGTTGGTGTTTCTATCTTGGCTCAGAGCGCAAAGCGAAATTCCAGGTGGATGCGTCTTTTTGGCTTTCCGTTGCTTGTCATACTTGGATGGAAGCAGTTTGTTCCACAGGAGTTCATGTGCCAGCTTGTTTTGAATCATCCAAACATCGGCAACAGCACCGCCTTACGATCATCGCTCGCCCTGGACACAGAGCAGACATGACGATGGCGACTGCTGTAACGGCGAGGTTCCCTGTGGTGCTGACGACCATCCTGCGCATGCTATTGTCCCTGGGAGCCCCTGCGCAGCACGTCGAACGGACTCCTACATGCCTGTCTGATCATCCCCGCATTCCTTTCTTCTCCACCCTGCCCTCTCCACCCTTCTCTTCCCTGCCCTGTCCACCCTATCCTCCATGCCCTCTCCACCCTTCTGTTCCTCCCTGCCACCCCCTCTCCAGGGCTCTCTTCGATCCCTCCGATCCGATTCGATTCGGTTTCGATGGATCCCGATCCCGAGCCGATCCGGTGTTTCGGAGTCCGATTCCTCGACGGAGGCCCTTAAGGCCTGCCGATCTCCGCCGATCCGATCCGACTCTTCCCGACTTGACTGCCGACCTCCGCCGATCCGATTCCTGCCGATCGCCAGCCCGACTTCTCTCAGGAGAGGAAACAGCACACAGACACAATTAATCGTCGACTCCCAGGAACATATGGGAAAATATGGGAAGTGGGGGGGAAGACAAGAACCCAGAAAATATGTGAAAATATAGGGGATCCTTTTATTTGTGTCTATTTATTTGTGTGTCTCAGGGCCCCTTCATTCTCGACTTGATTCTGGGTTGTCCTGCTCCCCCCCCCGCCCTGCCTGACACCGGGGTGCGCCCCGCCCTTTCCTCGCCGTCCCCACGCGCCGTTGCCCCATCCCTGCGCTCGCTGCCCTCCCTGCCCAGCCTCTGCCCTCGCTATCCTCCTGATCTTCCTCCTTGCTCCTCCTCCTCTTCCTCTTCTGCTTCTTCCTCCCGC